ATTTTATATAGTTGGTAAATTGTTTTTTTTCTACATTCACACATCATTCATACATCATCAACATTCATTCATACAACATTCATTCATCACATCATTCATCATGGGACCTTCATTGAACATTGAACATTGAACATTAGACAAGAAGACTGTACTTTGGAAATCTCTCACCAGGAGTACACTCTTCCATGTTCTGAAAAATTGCGGTGAGTTGATCTAAACGACCTTCATCACGTGACGAATGCTTTGAAATCTAATAGTAACGCCGCTTTTTTATTCTTGAAATAATTTCATCCTGCACTTTTCTTCCTATCATTCAATGATCGTATTGCAAAAGGAAGACGAAAGGGAATTGACGTGGCGATAAGCAACATCTCAGATGTGTTTCGTAAGAAAACCTTTGTATTTCGCCAATATCAAATATCGGGTGATCCAATGTCACCGTATTATCACGGCATGCCAACCCATGTTCACACAAGTCTTAGAACACTAACAAGACGATAACATGTGTTTCCGTCCAAATTGTTATGTCTTCTCCTTATCGAACAAATGTAACGTTGACACGACCATTCCACTCGTGCGTTTTGAGAAATACAACATAGATCTTCATGGGATTTTTAAGTTCTCACCCAAACGTTGCCAATCATGTTGTTTACGCACGCACGTGGTTTGCAACCGCCTGTGCCGCCCCCTCCCCTCTCTGCTCGGCCGCCGGGACAGCGAAGGCGCCAATCCGTCTCCTTGTCACCGCACCGCCGGCTCTGCCACCCTCGGCGAACCGTCCTTGTCGGCATGTGCGGTTTATGACACCCATTTGCGCCTCCGCGAATTGCGACCACCCCCAGCCAGCGGCTCGGCCGTAATTCCCACGGCGCGGCAGAAGCGCTCGAATGTCAATCATCAGCGCTCTTCGCCGACGACGGACAAAGGGACCGAAGTGGTTTGTCCGTCGTCGCCGGAGGGTCGGCGAAGAGTCTTGATTGACGTTCGCGCGCTTCTGCCGCGGCGTGGGCAAGCACCGCGCGGCCCCGCCGGTGCTCTCAGAGGCTTCGTCAGCCCTTTCCCACGGCGGTCCAGAGCACCCCCCCCCGCCATGCCTCGTGGTAGCCACCCCCGCTCCAGGGAGGGGCGGGTTTTCTATATATTCGTGCGGACAACCGCGCCCGGCAGAGACACACAGACATTCATTGAGAGATAGTTAAACATGTGAAGGCGAGGCACGTGAGCACGCGTCTTGTCACGACTGCTCCGCTCCTGACATGTCACATCATTCAAGGCCTCAGACTGCCCGCATAGCCGAGGGTCGACACCAGGGCTGCCCATCTCGGCATTCACTCAGGGGTGAGGCTGTCCACATCACATAAATTGGACCACGACAGAGCGCATTGCCTGGTCATCGCGTCCGGGGGCTTGCGGCATTCGCTCAGAGGTGCACTGTACGTGCTCAGCGACCTATTTTTTTTTCTTTTGTCCCCTCCACAGTATCCCTGTGAAGAAGGGGAATTTATTTTCTATGAATATTTTTTTATAATACGCTGCTGCCTTGCGGCTTAAGTAGCTACAGGCGGGGCTTTTTCTTACAACTAACTTACAATCTAGATCTAAAGTTATCTTAATTGCACTTTGGCATTACTAACTTACACTAAAATCATTTTTCTAGTTCTATTTAATATATTCTACGTAATTATTATTTTATATCGTTGGTAAATTGTTATTATTATTCTTTTCTACATTCACACATCATTCATAATAGTTTCATTATATACATAACCATTCATTCTTCCCATTCATTCGCACTTCACACTTCTGCACTTCCCACTTCACTACACTGTTCGCCACGGCACTGACTTGACTCAAAGTGTCCGCGGCATTCGCTCAGAGGCGCACTGTACGTGCTCAGCGACCTCCACGCAGCGAGAAATGGGACGAGCTCAGCGCCTTGAAATAGCAGGTACCTGTTTCTGCCTCTGAGGTACAGAGCCAAGCTTCTCAGGTTCATATCATGCAATGGAACATTAATCGGCATTAATCAACATTAATTGGATTGAACTGTTTCTCATCATCATCAAGGATCAGTTATTGGATCAATTTGTGTCAATTAATATAATTTGTCATTGCAAATTACTGATTAAGTTTTAGATTTAGTTTTCTGTAATACTTTTTGTAGTAATTCACCGCTCGGACCCGGCACGCATTTTCAATATAGTAGTTTTATAATTGTTTTGGTTTTCATGTCCTCTCTTAGATTGTAAGTTTACATTTTATTAATCCAAGGGGCAATATATAATTAAATTAACATTTAAGCTATTCCGTTTTGCTATTCATTTCGGCCGATCCCTCATTTCCTCGTACGAGGTGGTCCACCAGCCCTTATATTTTAGTAGCCCTCTGGCTACGCCGTTTGAGCTACCGGAGGCCGATATGTGTGTGTGATGTGCACGCCTCTAGCCAACAGTACGGTCCACGCTGTTGGCTCATCATCGTGCGTGGCGCCGTGTGAGAGGTGGGTACCAGGTGAGTACCGCGTCTGCATGCGCTCGAACGACACGGACGCGCAGTGCGCATACACATGTTTTTAATCGCAAGATCCACCACAGTAGGTAAATTGACTGCGTGTGTTACTCATCCTTAAAAATAGCATATTTTTATAGTTTCATAATTTAACTAGTGGTGCTCCACCAGCACATACGTTCTCGAATTATTTCTAAATTTACAATTTTCGAAAATTTAGAGAGCTCAAAGGAAAGGAGACCCGCGCTATTCTTTTAATTGCCTCTTGTTCTGTACACAAGAAAATATTGGGAGCGGTATTTGAGAAATTGTTTTCATTATAACTTGCATGCACTCTCAAATTTTCGAGTTCCTTGAGATCGATTGGGGAATGTCAATTTTGGAGGAAACCGGCTCACCTGTTTAGCTTCTAGCATTCACTATAGAGCATTTTTCCAGACGGAGAGACAGGCGTTTTAACGCCAATCGATTTCTGAGTGTGAAGGACCCTCAAAACATGGATTATGGCTACACCATAGGTTAGGAGAAGTAATTTACTATGTAGATGAATAGGATTTATCTTGTCTTTCGTTGCCAAGAACTGGGAAGAAGCGTTTTCCTGCCAAACATTCTCCGTTTTCCGGAGCACGATTATATAACGTTCTTTTCTACGAAGTAAGTGCGAGAAGGTAAAAATCAAATCTGATGTCCATTTATCGATATAAATATTTGTCCTAAAAGTCAATAACATAAAATATGTAGTTATCAAATGTGATTAATCTCGGTTTGTTGGAACTTTTATTCATCATTCAACGTTTTTGGTGAAAAAGTTGGGCAAGAGGATCTGCATCTCAAGAAAACTTAATATTTCGCTTCCGTACAAAACATTTTACTGTTCTTTGACAAAATAAATCAAATTAAATCAATCAATCGGTCACTGACTTGAATGATGATCATTAATTAAAGCTATTTCCATTGCACATATTCGCAATAACATTAATCAATTTATATGAGAATGTACTAAGTCAAATATTGATATTAAATCCAGAAAAAAATGAACAAAAAAGGCCTTATCATGAATGTTAAATATTCTTTTCCACTTTTAGGCAAAAAAACGTTTACTTGCATAGACTGCTCGTTAACAGGTCAAACTAAAAATAAACTTAATCAGAGAACGAAATAACATTAAAGCTTTTTCTACTAAATTAAATTCGCATTTCTACCAGAGGTACAACACATAACCTAATTTTTATTTCCAAATTACCTTGCATTTTGGAAATGGAATCTAGAAAATACCCACAATGAACTCCGAAACTTTAAATATTAAGATTTATCAAACTGTCAATATGAATGTGGATTCTAATATTTTTACAAATGTCTACGACAATGTATTGTCCAAAATTTAATTACCCCAATGAATAATAAGTAGATTATTCCCAGTTCGCATTGTTTTTTGTTTTTTCTTGCTCTTATTGGCTTCACTTCCTCCCATCTGATGTCTTTGCACTTTTTACCCCCTCCACTCTAGGCCACACACGATCAAATTTTTACTTTCTCGCGTTACTTCCCAAGGAGAGAAAGTATTCTAATCGTGTCCTGGAAATGGCGAATTTTCAACAGAAAAACTCTTGTTGCCGGGCCCTGAATAATTGAATAAGTCTTTGTTCCTATGAATGTGTAGTAAACTACATTACTAGTAAAGAACCCCAAAAAATAAAATATATGTTTTAAACGCGCAGGGCTCGAGCACTTTTACATACATTGGGGAATATCTATTTTAGAGCAAAATTGCGGATGGTTTGTGAGCTAGCATTGACCATAGAGAGGCAAACATTTCCGTCAATCGTTTTTTCGATATCAAGGGCCCACAAAACATGGATTCTGAAGCACAATGTGTTAGAGGAAGCAGTTTACAACATATAGGAAGGAGACTTACCTAATTTTTTGTCATAGGGTCATTAAGAGTTTTTCTGTTGAAAATTCGCCTTTTTTTCCAGCAGCGATACAGTACTTTCCCTATATTTCGAAAGAAGTATGCAAGAAAGTAAAATCGATGAACGTGTCTTGTCAAGAATATTCTAAATCCTTTTCTAAGTGGTAAAAATTTAACACTAATATATTCAGAGAAATAGTTGCTGAGTAATTGTGTCTTCTAAGCCAACTCTTGCTGTTTTAGTCGAATGCTAAAACAATTCGAGTAATAAGAATTAGAATCTGCTATGTTTTGTTTGTGATAAATGTTTCCTGTGCTTCGTTTTATAGAATTCAGTTCTCGAAATGATACACAAAGGAGGTTGCAGAGGTTGATATTTAATTTATTTCTCTTAAAAGATTTTGGAATTTTTATGTCGTTAATTTGCATTTACGAAACATGCGGCACAGTAACTCTTGACGCAATTGCGTCAACGTTCGTCCGTCAAACGCCGTTACTAACTTTAAGAGGAGGAAGTGTTCCAGGAAAGAAAGGGTCAGTCCCAAAAGAGGCTCGCCCCCAACGTACAGTACTTGTTCGAATGACGCTACCAGGAAACAAGAGCCTGAACCCATGCAGCGTAAATATACCCATTTCTATGGACTCGGGGGGAGGGGAGGGAGGCTGTCGTAAAAGCCACTGTCACAAGCGCACTCCAGCGAGGAATCGGGTAAACAGCGAGATAACTAAAGAAGATATGAGGAACACCCCGCCGCATCATACATACGAGCAACGAGGCAGCAGCTACTCGCAGTCGACGTCCGGTGTTTTCCTCGCCAACGCCTTCTCTCCACTTCATCTAAGATGCCACGTAAGTACAAGCTACGAGGAAAGCAATTGGGGTTGCAGAACTGTCTCTGATTGCATCGAACGCCTGAAATATTTCGTATCTACTTCACTTTTTCATCATTTAAAATGTATCAATTGTCTACTCATGCCTGGTAACGTAGCCCAAATTCACGCACACTATGGTCTGGTTTTTGACGTGAATATCTTGTCATGATTGACTATGAATAATATACGTTATCATCGAGACAACATTGGCAAATCATATTATTTCGAAAAATCTCACCATATGTTGGTAAAAATGAGTGACCGGCAAATCATTACTGCCGTATTACTATTTCTTTTTATCCTTAATTTATGCAAAATAGTTATGAACATACTTATGTTATTTTATATTATTATTTCTTACTCAAGTTTTCTCTTTAGGTTTGTTTCTTTAACTTCATAAATTTGCGTATATTGTCAGAACGTATTGTTCATACATCAACCTATTAATCGTACAGAACGTATTGTCGTTTCTATTGTTCCCGTCCTATTTTTGTAATCTGAAGTTTGGGTGCCCAAATACTGCGAGCAAGTAAACGCATTCCAACTGGTTTCACGTGCTATTTAACGATGCAAATAGTTTATTCACAATCATAGTTTTCAAGCCTTATGTAGTACTATGCCTTGCGAAAATACGATGGGTAAGGGTTTTCGTTCCGTGTCAACCAAATGACCAATATTTGCCGATTTTCATTTCTCTAGCGCATGAAACATTTGTCCAAATGTAAAAGTTAGAAGTTTTTTCTTTAATTTTGTATGTGTCAGTATTTTCAATAAAATGCATAGTTGTAAAGACAGAAGCGCAAAACAGAAAAATGTGCGACTGTTTACTATATTTTGCGATTTTCTCTGAGAAGTCAAATTTTAGTCGAGGTGCCAAACCTAAAGCAGTATACAGAACCTTAGAAATCATATAGAACCAGTGAGAAAAAACTACGATTTTTTCTTAATTGAGTCCCCTTGTGCATAGCAACACTTGTCAGGCCTCTAGTCTTTGAAGCGACATCACGAGGAGAATGTTATAAGATGTCTGGTGATCACTATTGTCGCAGATGTAAGTCCACCGCATTTGTTGAAGACGTACTGAGTAAATAATGAGTACAAAGAAACGACAATGAATGAATCTGCTAATAAAACTAGAAATCTTGTTTACCCATGTTACACACAATGTACGCAAAGAACACTCATATTTTTCGAAACATTGTTCCTGACCTTATTTAAAGATTTGATTTTGATGAACATATTTCATTAAGAATAACATTTCTCTCTTCCATTTAAAAGTTGTAGGAAGATGAAAAAATTGAACTTTTGCAATTTTCAAAAATTTCAAGTGTGTAATGAAAATTCAATACACCCCATTTTCTGAAGCGTATTTTCTTCTCTCAGAAGAAAAAATTTAAAGACAAATTTCAGAGTCCTTTTTGAGAAAATTGTAAAAATTTTGAGGCACCACAAAAAGCACCCCCAAAAACCGAAATTTCCATTTCAAATGGCTGCGTCTTTAGTGGGATCGATCGAGGAATATCAACTTTGGAGAAAATCGGGTGAATGGTCAAGCCGCTAGCGTTTTTAGGTATCAAGAACCCACCAAACTTGAATTCGGACAGCACAACGTATTAGAGAAAGTAATTTTCTACATTTATGAACATTATGAAGTGTTCCTTCCGTCGTTACCAGGACCCAGCAATAATCACCATTTTCCCCCGCAGCATTACAATGCTTAACGCTACGTAAGCAGCAGACGAGGAAGTATTGGTGAAGTTTTGAAATACTGATGTTTTCGTAAAATTTGCAGTCTTTAGTACTAAATATTTTTCGGCAATCTAATCACTTTATAGAATCTCGATAGTGGTGTCATTTTTCTGTGAACAGATATTTCTCTTTGCTATACGTTCTATTCCCGAAATTTTCTGTTATCTTTTCCGGTCCACTCGTGCTGGAAAAGTCTATTTGCTGAAGATAAATTGTGAAATCATAGGCATGCGTCACAGGCAGAACACTGAAGCCAGATGGACATAAGCCGATAGCTCTGACCAATTGTACTGTTCAGGAAGAATGAATGGGCAAGTGCAGTTTGTTGAATATGTATGAATCATTTGAAAATATTGATTCAATTTTAATAGCCTTAAGAGATAAATTTGAGATTTATACACAAAACTATACACTTTAAAACTTGTTCAACATTTTATTTATTAAATTTATTTACGTCATGAAAGACAAAATGAGAATGGGCAGCAAAAAGTAAATTAATAAGGCTTTGCAAATAATAAAGTTGTTAATCCGGTGGGTTTTGATGCATTGAATAACGTCTGAATTTTTATTTTTCTGTCCGGTACGATGTTGTTGAGGAAACGGATTTTATAAATTAATACTGTACACTGAATTTTCTGACTTTTAACATTTGCATGAAAAATTTAGTATTAATGCTAAGCCGGTTATATTAAACAGAAAACCAGTAATTTTTAATTTCTCGCCTACTCGATTACACTGTGTAGTGAATGTATTGTAATGCTGCAGGGGAAAACTGGCGATTTTTTGAAAGAAAAACTCTTATTGCTGGGCCTTGGTAACGAAAAAGTAGATAAAATTAATCTCTGTATTGTAAATTATTCCGCACACATGTTAGCCAGAGTCTAAGTTTGTGGTTGCTAGGTGTCCACTATTTGAGGGTACTGCCCGCTTTCTTCACATTATGTTCACTATTTTTTTTTTGCCCATAAAATACTGGGCATTTTTTTATTCCAATGCTTTATGATATAATTGGACGTAATCTAAAGATCTACAGTCTAAGAGAAAAGTCAGTACGTAATATACAGTCTAAGAGAAAATGGATAAAAAGTTTGTAAAAAAATATATAATTTAATTTCCATTTAATTGCCTGTCCGCTATTTTTTGGAAGCAGACCAGTCAACGCAATCTGTTTGGTGGATCCATGATACTAAATTTGATTTCGGTAAAACGTCCGTCCATCCGTCCGTCCGTTTCTCTGCCTGTGAACAACTAGCGGATAAACCATAAGCAGAATTTTCACCAAAATTGATATTCCTATATCCACCTGACTGGCCGACCACGTACATTTCAATTTCAATCGGACAGTCTAGTTTTTGAGTGTCATTTACATTAAACCTCAAAATTTTTCTCAAACATAACTCAAATTTTTGTGTTTCTCTTTTCCTCTGATAGAGTTCAAAACGCATACAGAAATGTCGTAGGTCGCATTTTCTTTGCGCTCTCTAAATTTCCGAAAATTGCAATAGTTCAAACGTTTTTCAGCGTCCTACAATTACAATAAAGGAGATTCGGAATAAATAGATTCCAATATGTTGTATATGTTTTTTTTAAGATGGACATCACTTAATGACTCCGTAGTTATAGTTTCAATATACATCACACTCCACACACAGTGAGACCATTCTAAAAAGTTGAATAACATATACTACGTTTATGCTTGAAATTGCTTCTAATACATAGTGCAATAATGTGTTATTTTATCTTGTAATACGTTTACTAAACGAATTGTAACTGACAGATGATATTGTAGATAATGTTCTTATGAAAAGAAATAGATTTAAGGAAGGCAATAAATGTTGCCTAGAAAAATTAAAACAACTATTTTACATCGAAAAGGTTTGATAGTTGAAAAAATTCAAAAATATTAATTCAAAATATTCAAAAATTATAAGCTCCCTCCTCTGAAACCAAGGCAAGCTTGTGTGATATTATCCTTGTTTTTCTACATCATATGCAAATACTGCGACGGTTAAATTTAAATAAATAAATGTCTTTATTGATGGCGAGGCTCAGCCCATTTAGCCTCCCCTTCCGCCTGACCATAGACCATTTATTAATCTTAATTTTATTTGCATAAGACAGAAATTACCAATGTCCCTGAAATAAATGCAGATATGGACAGGAGCTTCGTTTGAGTTGGTTTGAACTTTTTCAAGTTTTAGCTGAAGTCCATTAGTAGGGGATAAAATACAATATTATAATATTACGTAACGTTTTCAATAATGCAGGGAATATGTACGGTTGTAGCACCTCTAGTTTCCAGATGCTGCAGATAGCGTTATGTAACCTTTCGAGAGTGACTAAGAGAAGATAAGAATTCAAGATTATCACATCAGGCTACAGGACATTTAGATAAGATATTGCAATATACCTTGGGAGTGTGTTCCAGAATTTTCCAATTATATACCTCTCTAATGATTTTTCATTCTGAAAAAAAAAAAAGAGAATAAAATAATTGTATGTCCGTTTTAATGACCTACTTTTATTCATATTCATTACTATTCAGGCTTGTATTAATCCTTATATCGCTTTCCATTCTCTTCAGTTATTAAAAATTCAGTATCAGTACTTCATGCTATTAAGCAACTAAGGAAAATACTCAATTTACTATGCGAGAGAGTTGGGGAATATTCTAATCACGTGTCCCTCACGTTTTTTTTATTTTCTTTGATTATAAACAAATAAATATATAAATACATACAAATAAATATATTTTCGTTAAAACTTTACGGATTTCGAGGCTCAGGCCTTTCTGCTCTTTCCTCTGAAAGATTTATCATATAATAAGTATTAAGTAATTCAATGAAAATACGTACGCTATTAAAGGAAAGAGATTCACACGAATGTGATAAATGGAGAAAGGATTTCCATTCAAGATCATATTTTATTTAAGCTTTATAGAGCTTGAAAACTATGTATGTAATATATTTCTTGGTAAACTCATTTTAAAAATACACCCTTTTTCGTTCATATTTACATGTTTAGGTAATTGTTTGTGCGTAATTAATGTTTAGACATTTTTTTCAATTAAAGTACATTTTACACTTCGCATTAGATACTTACGTTTTGGACTAGTGGATTAGAAACATTTTTATTATGTTTTACTTATGTTGTGAATATAAAAAATGAAGCATATTTTGTATAAGTAATGTATTATTCTCAGATCGTGTTAGTTCCAAGCTACAAAGGCAAGGTCTTTCAATATTGTTTTACCAAAAATGTTAACCATCCACAACACTTCACTTGCACCGATTTTCAAAGCGACTGCATGCGCTGTGAGTAAGAATTGCGAAATGAATCGGCGCCAAGCGATTAAGTCACAAATAATAAAGAAGATACAGAAATCCGTATCACCTGACAACTGACAACGGGAGGGAAAAATAATGTAGAGCAGATTCCCATCCCCCTCGCATGCAAAAGAAGTTAAATGAAATGAAATGAAGTATAATAAAATTAAAAACCATGTTTGTAAACACATTTTTTTAAATATATATTGTGTGAAACATGTTTCACACCAGTATCCTGAATCTTTAAATGATTGCAAAGGAGCGATTGTGCATTTAAATGCGCGACTTAAAAGAGCTCATATGAAATTGCCTATTCATAGAGGAAAGAAGATAAGATTCCTAACTCCACGGGTCAGGCGACAGCAAGGCCAAAGGGAAGGGGACTGAGTGGATGCAGGTAGCGAAGGCTGTGGGGTGGGGAGGAAAGCTTGCGTTGAAGTACGAGGGAAATTCCTAACCCAGGCGACTGCCTGTGACTCAGTCGGGTGAAAGAGCCGTGTAGACAATAATGGCAGGGTATAACAACGCACGCGCTATATATATATATATATATATCTATATGATATATATATTATTATATATATATATATATATATAATGTGTGAGTGTGTGTGTGTGTGTGTGTGTGTGCGCACGCGAGTGCGTGTGAATGATTGACTTGTTTTCCCAATGATTTTGCGACCGACCATGACTCCTGCAATATAAATAATGGATTCATTTTTTACAACTTTTTCAAAATATATTTTCATAATTTGATGTGAAATAACGCAATTTTGAAAACAAGATTTTCTCAAAATACGTGATCTAACTTTCTTCTTTAAATTTTTTTTTGTACGAATAATGCTAAATATTCTAAAGGGACTTCTACCAATTTAAACGGGCGAGGCAACACACTTTTACTTTCTCGTAGATGTAACTCGTCGGATTAGAAGGTATAACGGGTAGCATATCGGATTGTTTTATCCAAGTTTGGGGGTTCAAGCCCGATAGAAGAAGTGGATTTTTGGTGGCGAAAAAATCCTTCGAACGCCTTTCTTCGAAGGGGAAATAAATCTGGTAGTCCCGTGTTGTAGATTTAGTGTAAAAGCATGTGCATCTAAAAAATCCTCAAGCCTAAAAGACGCCTCTGAGGTAAATTGAAAATTGCCTTATTCGTCGCCCACATGATCCTTTTTTTCTCCGCGGGATGGTGAAATGAGCGAAGCAAAATTTGTGGTCAGACGAAAGAGAGGGCCTGGGAGCCCGAGTCTCACCACGATAAATAAGGCATGAACTGAACTACCCTCGCCTTAAGGGAAAAATATTATGATCTTCTATCTTCACAACCGCGCATACCCTCGATTCGGTGGAGGAGCGTGATTCGGTGGAGGAACATTTAATTGTTGAATAAAATGAAAAATTAGTAAAATGTAAATAAAAAAACTAAATTGTTGATTCATCAGATAGGAGTAGGCTTCATTATTTTATATTCTTCAATGATTCCGTCGCTTCTGACGTAATCACCCCCTATAAATTACAAAGTATCTACTGTATCAGGTAACAGGTTTATTGCCAAATTAAACCGCGATAGATATCCCACGCACACTCGGGATACGGACAGATTGACCTGTCTGTGTTTCCCCGTTTCATGTTAATCCGTACCTCGAAAACGCTCGCAGACGCTCAATTTTGTCCCTCCGACTTAAATGCGTTTCATCGTAACAAAGGCCGTACGACTGTGTGTCACAGCCTCGACCCTTTTGTTTGGATAGGGCGAGCGGCTCCGAATACTATAAATGGGCTCACGCAATTTGAAACGAGTAACCGCGAACATTAATTCCGATGAAAATCAGGAGACGACTGGTTTCGTTCACGGAGTTCAATTCCGATGGGTAATGTCCAAAGACGCGCATGTTTGTTCGGACTGATAAAACGGACGGGCAAAACTTGCAATTCTCCAGAACATGTGTAAATGCAGACTGTATGCCTACACTGCACGAGTGTAGGCTATGTTACATAACGAGCATGCGCGACTTTTGGCTTTCATACTTCAGGTTTGGAATCTTCAAGTTTCTGTACTGAAACTGTATGAGAATCTGCACGAAAACTGTACTTTGTATACCAGCCTATAGATTCATTTAAAGGATTTATATAAAAGTATAGCTGTTATGCCGTTTGGCTAGATAGCCCGTCACGGGCTTTGGCCGACCAGCGGTTAAAATTCTATTTAGGATCATTTATATCTAGAAGTATTTGGATACGACAAAAATATTTCCTGGTCACAACGCACTTAGGGACGAATCCATACGTCACACACAGTTTTTTTAACTGTTTTTGACGAAAATGACATAATTAAATAAATCCCACAGAGGAGAGAACGTGCTCCCATTAGACATTGCCAGTATACGCATTCTATTTGTTATTAATATTAAACCAATTGATTCCTGTTTAGAATTTCCCTTGCACTCGGACTCGATATTTTCTTCGATGGAGGATGGAAAAACTTCTCGACCTACATCCTTGAGGTTGAAAGTGAGGACATTATGAAGGAGACCCGTTGTAAATAGTACTGCCTTGGTATTCACCTGGAAGTGATCAACGAAACGATGGAAGTCATCGATCACAGTAGTTGACCTACGTGCTTTGTTCCTGTAGTGGCCAAAATACTAGGCTCGAGATATTTGTGTGTCATATTACGTCATTGGCTGTTTATCAAAGATAATTTTCAAAAACATATTAAGCCTTGGTAGGAAAAACCCTTGTCCTTCCAAATTCCCTCACCTTTGGCAGTTCCAGGATTCGACACTGAACATATCTAAATCTCTTTTCATCAAATAATCTTCTGTGTGTGGCACAGCTAAGAATTCGTATTTGGCTTACAATCCAGTTAGAATTAAGACAATAACCTGATAAATGAATAGCCTTAGTTATTGGATGTCAAATAGTTATCTAAGGAAAAAAGTTCGTAAGACTTCTTATTACAATAATATATTGAAGAATTACCAAACGAGTCTGTTAAGACGAATTTGATAACCAATCGAATATTATAATAAGATGTTATCAATCCAATATCGTAAAACCATAGACGCAGGTTGAAAAATTCAAGTGCACTATAATTTTCGTTGAAACTTGACTCTTCGTTCTGTATGAGGTGATGTAATGATGCTGATAGAAGAAATATCTTGAGTTTGTTTCAATATTACTTGCATTACACAAATTATTTTTACTTTCTCGTATTTACTTCGTAAGAAGAGACATTTACTTAATCGTGTGCCAAATAATGGTGAATTTTCTGCAGAAAACTCTTATTGCCGGGCCCCGGGCCTGCAATTAGTACAATTTATAAAAAAATTCTCAAAAACAGCTCCATTTTTTCACTCAGATACAAGAGGAGATACTTAAAAGAATAGCATGAGAATAATTTTCGTTGAACCTTCTAAATTTTCCAAAATAATTTAGAAATAATGCGAGGAATCATACTGCAGTAGCACCACTAGTTTTAACGAAAAAAATACTATACTTGTGTCGTAATAACGTTCAGCTTACGGCATCGAATATTCTCTCACATACCATGTAGTTGATATAATAATAACAACTATACTAATTTGTAAATAATAAATTACATCATGACGTACGCGCAAATAAAAATATATCCTCCGACAGCCTGTGATGTCGGTGGTTGTAAGTAACCCCGCCCCCGGAGAGTTAGTTTCCCGCCCTTTGTGCCAATCTCACAGACACTACGAGTGTAAATGTTTTTTTGTTTTTTCAAAACATCCGTCATGTCTGCCCGTCCATCCGTCCTTCCGTCTGTCTGTCTATGAACAACATTAACCCCTAAACAATTCGTAGGATTTTTTTTCCCAAATGAATATTCTTCAATTGATTTGGCTCGTCTCAAGCCTCACGATTTTCAAAAGAAGTCTTTAAATTGTGATATTTTCAATGTTTTTTCTCAAAAACAGTTCAAATTGTTTCTTTAAATTTCTCGTAAGAATAGACACGGTTAAAATTTTTCTATAAACCTGCTTCAGTATTTTTTATGGGTAGTGCTAAATTCACTTTATAAGATGACACAAACGTATTTTGTTGTACTATTTTGTTTTTTAACTTTCCATGAATATATTTTTTATATCTTTCTCACGTGGTTAATATTTACATTAGGTGTAAATTTCTTATACATCATCGCATTTGTCAATTAATTTCTTATAACGTATCTCGAAAAATAGAAAGTGTGGTGTGAAAATGGGCTTAAAAATGCACACTTACAGAAACTCTCAAATATTTTCGTAAAAACCAGCTCAACATTTTCTAATGACAATTTGTATGTAGGACCAGATTTCACCGTTTTATAATATTCTTAAAGTCCTGCTTCAATTCTACATTTATGGAGACGAAAAATTGAGGTAATGTGAAAAAATGTCTTTTAGGAGTCAAAAGATGTCAGTTGACAAGACGGCGGGGAAACAATGAAAATATTCATTTTCATTGATTAATTTTCAATTCATTTTTTCATAGCTGCTTAGAGAATCGCCTGACGCAACGCTGTAACCTGTTCTTGTTGTGGCGCAGACTGCTGGAGTTTGTTGAGAGCCCCTTATAGGAATGCCAGGTGCAATACAGAGTCCTATTATTGTTGCTGTATCGCAGACTGCCGAATATTGTTGATAGCAATGGGGTGACCTGTTCTTGTAGCGCAAACTGCTGGATGTTGGTGATAGCAATGGGGTGACCTGTTCTTGTGACGCAGACTGTTTGATGTTGTTGATAGCAATGCGTTGACCTGTTCTTGTTCTTGTGGCGCAGACTACTGGATGTTCTTGTGGCGTAGTTGATAGCAATGCAGTGAATGTTCTTCTTGTTGGGGCGCAGGCTGCTGGATGTTATTGGTAGCAAAGGAGTGACTTGCTCATGCAGCGCAGACTGCTGGATGTGGTTGGTGACGTGTTGTTCCTGTTGTGTTGCAGACTGCTGGATGGACGGCAGCTACGGCGGCACCCCCGACGGCGCCGTTCGCGCGGGGCGCGACCGCGACGGGGACCCCATCTTCGTGGGCCGCGCGTGGCACGAGGGGGACCTGCTGCCCGCCAAGGTGGTGCCCAACAAGGGCGGCGCCTACGTCTGCTGGGGCGGCACCGAGCACCACAAGGACCAGTACGAGGTGCGTGCCCCGGCGCGGCTTCTCACTGCACTGTAATTGTAGTATCCGAAAGAAAGCGATTTCTAAAAATGGAGTTATTCCAACTGCAATCAGTACAGAGGTAGAAAAATTCAAGCCAGATCCAAACACATTTCCAGAAGGCTGAGTTGCCGATGTTTCGACCATCCTGTCGTGGTCTTCCTCAGGGCTGGTATGCGCCGTGATGGTCAGCGCTCGTGTGTATAGCTGACCATCACGGCGCATACCAGCCCTGAGGAAGACCACGACAGGATGGTCGAATCGTCGGCAACTCAGCCTTCGACGCGGCGTCACCCGGACAGCCCAGATTACCGACATGACTCTGGCCGCGGAAGCCTACAACTTTACATTTCCAGAAAATGTACCGAAGAATGTCCAAGTCACAATTTCCCGGGGAGATGTCTAAAATCGCAGTCGTTGTGGCGGTTACTGTTCCAAGAGAGAGAAAGTCCGTAACCGTAGCTGTTTCGTCGCACTTGTTCACAATCACTTCCCAATGTAGGCAGGCGCTTGACTGTGTTGAGACACAGCTGAGGCTCGCCGGGCGCGGCTTTTATAGCCGGCTCGGGGTGCGGGTCCGCTGGGCACCTGTCAGGTACAGGTGCGCAAGTCCGCTCCGGGGCCTGGTCGAGCGTGACGGCGCGCGGCGTCTGCTATCACCGCCCTCTCGAGTGGTGTCGGAACTAATTTCTGGCGGCACTTTTAAAGGCACGCAGTCAGCCACAACAGTAATAAATAAATAAATCTAATTGGGGCGGAATATTATACTTCTTGAACTCGAAAAAGGGTTTTATTCCGACAGAAATATCACCTTAGAAGGGTCAGAGCATCAACTGATGTCACTGTAGTGCTACTGACCCGGTGCTCCTAGGTTCGAGTCCCGACGGTGGCAGGATTTTCGACTCCAGGTACACACTCTAGCTAGTTCGAATTCAGCCGCATTCTGGGCGAGAATTTTAGCGGCCAGCTGCTCTGATAGGTATCTTTCAGTGGTTTCTCCGAACAACACCAACCCAATGCCGGAGTAGTACCCTAACAAACGGACTCTGACCGCGCACGATCTGCCCTTGGTCTACCTTGCCCTATAACATTCCTTACTTACACTAACATGCTCTACACTATCACACATGCCGGGAGACCGGTCGGGAGCTTAGAACTAGTCCCGACTGGGGCGGTGCCACACTGGTGGGAGATACCTGGTTGGAGAGGAGCGAGCCAGTCCAGGTAGGTCGATGCCGGATCTCGCCAGCTAGCGGGAGAATCTCATCACCATCTCCCGCGATGAAAACATCCACTAAACGTCCGGAAATAATGACCTGAGTAGTTGACACGATCGTAATTTCTAATCGATCAACCAATGAAAAGAGAAACAAGGCTTAATCACTTTTTCGGGACCAGGGGCCAACAATTAGTTTTTTTTCTTCGAATAATCGCCGTTTCCCGATTACAATCCTGTCCCTTTGCTACTTCCGTAGTAAGGAAAAGGAAGTGAAACGAGTGTGTGTGCGCAGGTGATGTGCGACGCCAGCGCCGCGTGGGTGGACACGCAGGGCGGCGACGTGCCCGACGGGGCGGTGGCCATCGGCCAGACGTCCGACGGAGAGCGGCTCTACATGGGCCGCGTCATGCACGACGGCGCGCTCACCCCGGGCAAGGTGACTGTCACTTTTTTTTATTTTTTTTATTTTTTTTTATTTCACGTCAAAAACAGTTAAATCCTGTGTGTGACGTCGCAACGAGAAGCGTAATTTGTGCACGTTTTCTTAATTCTGGGATCTAAAACATATACAAGCTGAATTCTGAATACAAAAAGATACTAGTGTTTTCGGCCAGAATTGTTAACAAAATATTCGCTACAGTGTAATAAAATCTATTTTCAAAGGCAACTCAGCTACAGATATGGGTTCTTATCCTTCATCATGTCTTTCGTGAACGAATACACTTCTTCCGCGACAACATGGAGAACGATAATTTAAATAATTATATTTACCACTCAACTCTAGGAGACGTGCACAGATAATAAAGTTACATTTAGTATGTCCAGAAGCAAAACAATGTCCAATCTCAGAATTTTCTCAAGAGATCAGGGAAACTGGACGAAAAAACTGATCGAGATGGGGGTCATTGACCCTCAAGCCGAGGGACAATACTTGTTACCACAAACCTATTCATTATTTTCGAATACAATTGACAGCACATATGGCATATTAAGGGGGAATGAAATAAAATAATACATTCATAAATTTGGAATTAAAAACATTTCCCCTTCGTGGTTCAAAAAAAATGATATTATTATAAAATAAGTTAATAAAATGATGTCAACAATAGAGAGCATCTGGAAAGGTCTTGAACTCTCTGACGTTATAATTGAGTGACTACAATTTTATTTTCAAATATGTGTTCCTTCTTTTAGGTTCACCCCAGTCACGGAGTGTGCTACATCCCCTACGGAGGTCAAGAGCTTTCCTTCCCTCAGTACGAAATTCTGGTTCTGAAGTAATCTACTCCACCGAATCTGGGGAAATAACTATTTTTAAAAACGAATATCACACTAAGACTTGTATTTACAAATGAAACTGCCGTTTGCAATTCCTGTAAACAAAAATATAATATTTGTAAAAATGTAATATTCTTTTTCGTTTCTAGACAGAAATTGCTTAATTAAATTGAAGAGTATTATAATAAATTTTGGTTTAATTGAAAAACATTGCAATATTTTTTCATAATTATTCTAAATCCTCTGATTTTTCAGGCATTGCTGTCACTTAAAACATTTTTCATTTAAATTTACAATTTTATGTGACCGATGCAGTAAAAAGATTCACATTGGCCGTCCGAGCTCCTGCAATCACCCAGCGAGTGCTACAAGTCCACCCTTGAGATTCATTTTATGATTTGGCAAAATATAATGAATAAATTATTTTTTTGTATATCAGCATTATAAAAGACCTTATCTCTTACAAAGTATCGTAGATAAAAGGGCCTTTTACAGCACAAATGATGACGTACTAGCATTTTACGCCACGAATGATTGCGTCATCACACATTCAGCCAATCGCAGTGAGAGAATCGTCGTCACGTAAAGGTAAACGGAGCAGCCGTCTACCGTTTTCTCGCACAGATGTCAATTACCCGAGACGTCAAAAGAAAGTGTTTCGCAAAATTAATTTTGATTCTTTTATAAATTGATAATGCTTTTTTACCAAAGATAGCGAATGCAACTAGTTTCAAACGTTTATTTATTGCATTCGTACAAGTTTGAAAACTCGCTCCTAACGTCACTCGTTTTCAAAACATGTTCTCATGCAATAAAGCTTGACATTAAAAACTAATTGCATAAACCACGAGATTTCTGAGAGTTTGATGTCGAGGATGTGCAATAACTGGCATAAAATAAACACTATTTGAACAAAGGAAGTTAATCTCTACTAATAACGTGAAACACACTTTATACAGAAACACTTGAGAAATGCAGACATTTCCTTTTACGAAAATATATAAAACATACATTTTTACTTTTCCGTATACATACGTATATACAAAGTAATAGTCGCAGTATAGGGAAAGTTATGTGATGCTGCGCGAAAAAAACAGCGAATATTCGGCAGAAAAAAAGTTTATTGCCGGGCCCTGAAAACGAAAAAGTGGATACATCCAGTTTGCTACATTAAGAAAACAATCCTCTAACACGTGTTGTAGTCAGAATCCATGTGTTGTGGGTCCTTCATACCGAAAAATCGATTGACGGCAAAAGGTTCGACTGTCTTACAGTCCGTCTTTCAGTCGGTAAACACCACTAGCGCCTAAACAATACATAATATCTTTCCTAAATGAATATTCCCAGGTAGATCTCATTCCACTCAAGGAGCTGCCATTTTGAAACAATTTCTTCTAAATTTGGGAGAAGTCTTCTAAATTACATGAAGAGCCCTGAACATTTTCAAAATTTTCTCAGAAACAGTTCCAAGTTTTTCTTCAAATTTCTTGTAAAAATAGAGTAAAATACACTTATAAAGATAGATTATGTCATATTTTCACGGTTAACTCAGATTTTGAAAATTCCATTTATTAAATTTTTTTTTGCGAATTTCTCAATAGGATGCTCGAATCCTTCTAACATGTTAATATTAGTCTCATAAGTATCTAACAGTTTCCTTAATGAGGAAGGTTTTGTTTATTTAACTGAAAAACATCAATTATTTTTTGAGTTCTACTCAGGGTTTTATTCTCAAATATGGTAAAAGCATATCCCAAGATATGTCAAAATGTATTTCTAGGAGGGTAAAAAAAACAATAAGTCGTGCTGCATTATCTTTGAATATTTTCTTTAAACAAGTCTTTCTACATTGTTCAAACAACGGTTTTAATAAGTACCGTTTGAAACAAACTTTTTAAATTTATCCCACTGGGAAAACGTACATGAGAATTTCATCATCTCTATTTTGGGTAACTTTACTTAAGATTTTTCACCTTTACTCTCAACGGTTAATGAGGCTACTCGAATGCAGCTGACTTATTTACATTTGAATTAGCTCAACCAACCCTAATGCCTTTCATAAATTTTAAAAAAATACATCTCAAAGCTACCAAATTCTCTTTGAACAACTACATTCTCTACTCGTAAAAACTGCACTTTAATATTTTCAAACTCTTCCCACAGCAATTGATATTTGCATATTCTGATTTGAAGTGCACGAACCCCTACTGTAGGTTTCGAATCTAATAATCATTTATTATGTTAGTAAATATAGTCTCCATAAAGCCTATGGTTTTAATTAACTACTGCCTTCTTTGCTCCTGAGTTTTACTCTTCACCTTCACGTATTTTGAAAATATTACTTTCAATAAATTCACAAAACAATTAACCTCAAAATCAAAATACAGTGAGTGATAGCCCATACAAAAGTATACCAAATTAGTTGACTACTTCATTTCAACATGCTTCCAAAATAACTTTTTGAATTGTAACAAAGTTTCAATTGTAACCTCAATTTGTCCTACAACCATTCAACAGTCCTTTACTCTACTTCATTTTTGTTTTATGTCTTTCCTCCCGGGCGGAAGCACTATTAGGTGTGCCGTATTAACATCGCATCATCCGTCACGGGGGAGAGATACCGTAACAAGCAGTGGAAATAAGTGCAATGAACTCTGGTAACTTGAGTTTATTGACTATATCTTGTGCCCTCACACTTTCACTTTTACGTTGTTTTGAACATTTACCTTGGAAGTTGCAACACTGAAGTTCCGTGGCCCTGTCTCGCGTTGCACAGTAACACAAACTTGTAATTGAAACGTTGATGAAAATGTCGTGGCCGTGGTCTGGCATCATGCTCGTCTCCAGAGCGAAAAGAGAAGTGAGGTGCTCCGAGGCTTCGAGATCCGACTCGTTTGATGGAACGAATCCCAGGACCCTTAGTCTTTAATAATTGAATACCGGCCTTAAGAAGCGCTCAGCGCGCTAGCTGTAAGTTGCAACCGCGCCTGCCGCTAAGCGGTTATGCAACCCACCCGGCATTGGACGCTTCCGCTCGCACACGCGGGGGATGCAAGGCCTCATGGACGCAGTGACAAGTGAAAGTCATCGAAACCCAAGCGGACGAGCAGCCCATGGACCTAGGAATACAGGGAGATGGCCTGACGTCAAAATTTGAAGCAACCATTCAGCATATTGGTGTGCCCGCTTGTAGGCATCTTCGTGTTGAGGTGTGTTCTTTGTTGTAGTTTTTAATATTTAAAAGCCTTGATCGGATTAACAAGCTTTTGTAACAGTTCTTCATGGTTACTTGTGTAGATTACTGCTATACAGAGCGTGAATTATAATAATAATAATATTTATTGAGTCACATATACAATTACAGTGTATGACGAGTCAATATGATGCCTTGGGTGGAGAGAGCGAAGTTATATTACTGTTCAGTAGCAAACAAGGGGCCGTCTCAGCATTTGCTCAAAGGACCAGGGAAACTGAACAAAGCCTGATCGAGATGGGTTACTTTTATTTTAATTACTTTAATTAATTACTTTTCTCATGTAAAAAGTTACTTTATATGGTTTGGAGAAGTTTGCCAAGTCTGTGTACTCACTACACAACGCCTTAGAGGAAGGAATTTTCTACATATTGGAACAGATTTATCCTCGTTTTTGTGCTACTAAGGCCCGGCTATAAGAATTTGTCTGGCAAAATTCGCCGTTTTGCTCCGCAACATTACAATACTTTCTCTGTAAAGTAGCAGTAGACGTGAAAGTACAAACGCATGTTAAGATTTGGCGGAAAAAGGACTTGTTCTTCCACATTCCCTCCCCTTAGGCAGTTGCTGGATCCATGGCTGAACACGCCGAAATCACTTTTCATCAAATAATCTGCTCTGCAGGGCACTTTAAGATTCTGCACAAGTTTTCTTGAGCTCTTTTGCTAGAAACGAGTGGGGTGGAGGATTATTTTTTTATTACGAGTGTATTCAAAATTAAATCTGATTATCGCTTGCCAATATTTCTTATTTTAAAATGCTGATTTCTTCCTTTTTTACTCGTAATAGTGTGTAGTAAGAGATATTAAGGATTCTGGAACTCAGGAAGACATGTCCACTCACAAGACTTGTCATACAGGATTGAAATTGTATGTGTGACTCAATAAAAAGATAAAACAATTATTAATTGAGGTAAAAGAAACCTAATTTTTTCTGTACATTTTGGCATACTGATGCCAATTATTTCCTGGCTTTTCTTGCTTTACTGCCTCCTATTAATCTAGCCTTCCTCACATTTCTTTAGCCCCATTTCTTCCTTTGCTTAATTTACTTTCTTTTTTCCCTTGCAACTTACCCTCACGTACGAGCTGTTATCCTTCTGTGACCCAGTGCTTAACTATTTTCCATCAGTGAGCATTTTCCTTTGTATTGCCTCCTGAAGATTATTGATATGTTCCAAGAATATGTTCCTACTGTATTTATGTTCTCCATCCTACCCAGTGCTTTGGCTGCCTCATGGGTACATTGTTTTAGCCACTCATGTCAATATAATTAACATATTATTATTATTATTATTATTATTATTATTATTATTATTATTATTATTAGTGGTAGAAGAGGGTTTAGTAATCCCCAAGGGATTACAAAATGATGTTGAGATCAAGAACTAAAATTTACATTACATTGTTGTTAAAATGAAGTTAACAAAATTATTTCTTAATGTGTTTACTTTTATATTCTTAATATGTTATTTTACTTTTAATTTTTCATTCTTTTGGTGATAATTAATTATTATTGATTTCTCTGTTCATTCATAAGATCCATACAATTTGAAATGAAATCTTTTGGACATCTGTCAGTGTTTAATAACAAAATGCACCCATACCACTGGAGTGAAATTCCACTTTATTTGAATTGGTCCTTACAACATTTTACACTGCTACAGAAGGGATTTAGGTATTGTGAAAGTTAACAGAATGATTGAGATGACTGGTGACCTATAACAAATTGTCATAAATTCTCTCCTTGAAATGCTTATAATAGTACTATGCATATTTTGCCATCATTTGATAGCATGCACTGAAAATACTGATAGCAATGTGTCGCTGTGTACATTTCTCGGGTCAGTTGTAACATCACTTTCTGAGCCAGCTGCACATTTGGAATGAAATGATACCTAAGTAAATTTTATATTAATGCAACTTTTTTCTTGCACCACATGTGAGCTACTGGTTTCTCCATCAAGTGAAGTTGAGCATTAAGGGAGAGCAACTCGGCCCACCACATAAATTTTTAGAATGATTTTATAATCATTTCTGAGTGTGTGGGTTTGATTGCATGCTTGCATGCATGCGTGTTTTATGTAAGAGTATACATGGTTTCTTTTGAACGACATAAGTAAGACATCACCATATTAGTAGAGCGTTTCAAAATCTCATCTGTTTTTTCAATATAATGTATTACCAACTTCATTTATTAAGTATTAACATCAACACTCCACTGTGTTGCTGCAGTATAGACAATATTGAAAATTTGTAACAGAACTAAGACAAAAAGATTAAACTCTTTACATGTAATATGGTATTTATTACAATTACAGAGCAGAGTTATCAACATTAGGATAATGTACACATCAGTAAAATATGAACAAAATGTATTTTCAAAATGTGAAGCATTTCTCACACTTATTCCTATGTACATATTCATTAAAAAGCTGTTTTTAAATATAAATCCACTCTGATTTTTTGAGACTCAGGTATTCATCATTCACACAATTTTCATAAATAAACATTTAAAATAACATAATTGGGGAAAATTACATCAATCTTTTTCTCTAAAGTTCAAATCTCAGCAATTCCATACCATGAAATATTGAACCTCTAATAATTGAACTGGATAATAGAAGTACTATGAAATAGGGAATGTTCTGCAATTAATATCAGTCTACACCAAACACACAATACTTTCTGGCAGCAATAACAAACCATGTGAATTTGTGATCCTTCAGGACAAGTACTACGCAGTAATAAACAATCAGGCAAAAGACATCAAGTACAAAAGTTGCAAAAATATCTTTCTACGTGCTGACTAAAATGAAAGATAAAGAGGACCTTCCAGACTGATTTTATGAACTACATGAATGAATGTTCTAAGCAAGATAAGCACATTCTCAAACCCCAGAAACACTGAGCAAGGCAAATGCATTCAAACACAAGATTCGACCAAATAGTTCCAAACACTCCTGCCTCTTTGAAATGCTTCAGATTTTGCTGACAATGTCTTGGGGAGAAAATACCTACAAACAACTTCAATCTTTTAGCAATTTTTTGCTGATACAATGCTACTTTGCAGAAGCTCACATAAAATTATATACTTATTCTAATTTATCTTGCATCAATAAAATAAATATCTGGATAAGCTATTTATTTCTTAAGATTATTTTTATATATATATATATATATACACATTTTCACATTACCTTCTTTAAATATGCATTATTAGTATTATTGTTTATTATTCTTCAAAAATGCACAGCTTTTGGACAAAACTGCAAAGTATAATTGTAAACATAAAATCTACAGATATGTAGCTCGATTTCTTTAATAACTGTGAAAGTTTATTTTTGTTTCACAGCTGTTAAATGCAATTTTCATTCAAATGCATTCTTTTTTAAAGCAAACATATCTCTATGGCTTGGAAAGATGAGGGTTCATTATGGTGATTTCTATGATTAGACAATTCTAATTTCAGAACCTATCATCAAATCCATTCATAAATCAACAGTACATTTTAAGAACAAATTCATTACCACTACTCAAGAATAATTTGATACTTTTTGAAAAAAATTCAGAACCAGCATTTAAAATGAAATTAAACATTCTTAATAGGAATTCGAAGAATACACTGCGCATTTTGAAAGAAATGCTCTGAAAAACAATTTTGTCACTAAAATTTAGATGGGTGAAACAGTCTTTAACTATTTAAGTGAAACAAAGGCAACTGCACAAGCACTATGATTCTCTTCCACATCCAACTTCTCAGCATGTGAAGAAGACAAGTTCATTCACAACTCTAGCCATTATTTTGTAGTTATTTGAAGCAACAGTGTTTCAGTAGCAAGTACTTAAATGGTTTGGTTCCCAAATGTTACATGTGTTTAATATGTGTGTATTTATACATGCATATACATACAAACTCTCATACACATGTAAATTTCAGTTGTATTTCCATACAAGTCAAGACCAGTGAAATTATGATGAATAAGGAATCAGAAGATTCATATTTTTCTGTTTTGACAGTTTTTGAAGCATACACAAGATTCACTGACAACCAAAGTAAACCTTTTTTTTCTTGACATTCAGAAATCAAAAACTTTTAGTTACATCAATAGAATAGTGACTGAACTTGAAAGGAAAGCCATGTTACATATGTGATCTATTTAACACAGTAGTGCAAGAAGAGAACAATAATTAAGACTATCTGATTACGCAAGAAGGATATTGTATTGGCATCTACATACCTTTCCTCCACTTTTAAGACCACAGGCTTTAATAAAATAAGTATTTTTTAGTCTACTTTGTATTTAAACAATGGGTTCCCTTCTGGTAATATTTTTACACATCTGTTCACACAAGACATCACCAAGTTATGTTCCTATCATACATAGATAAGAACTACAAAGGTAGTAAATCTTATTTCTTAAAAAGAGTATTGCAAGATGTGTCTATCAGTCATCATAGCCCAGTTTCCAAGGGCAATGCTTACATCTACATTTGATCAGGGCACTGATTCTTCCTAGGAAGCACAGAGTTTGCTTGCAAAGGAAAAGTGGCAGTTTGTTTTACACAAATATGATACTAATGCAATTATTACATTTTTCTTCATCAAGCAAGAACCCAGTGGTGCCCAAATCAGATCCCTGTCATAAACATTTAAAATGATTGGCAGTGCTTCATTTAGGGCATAACAATGCTTTTAATTTATTTTAGTAGAAGGTATATATGATATAGGTATTTAGGAATGAATGGCTATTTGAATCTGAAAATTTTCTGAGTGCTTGTGCATATGGCACATTAGAAGCAGAAGCCACAATCACAATGCAAAGAATCTTCTCCACCTTCATAAAGAGCGTAGCTTAAGGCCAAGGTTAAGGCTGATGGAATTGAAATCAAAATAATCAACTTGTAAAATAATATGCAATAACAATAAATTGATGAATCCAACATCATTCATTTGAAAATTTGTCTTTCTAAAAAACTGAATTCATTGAATTTTCTTTTTAATTTAATTTGATTCCACCAATGTATTACATTGTAGTGGTATGACTGCTGAATATAAACATATAAGTATACACTAAGACTAATAGAAAGAACAGGTTTTGAAAGAAGAAAAAGGAAAAAAAAGAAACGTACTTAAAATGAAATTTATATTATTTTAAGATTTTGCACTCATTGCTATGCCCTCAACAGCACACAAAAGTGGTCTATTCACATTCAAAATATTGCTAAATAAAATCACAGAATAGCATGAAGTAAAGTCAAGTAAATTGGTTATTCTCAATAAATTATTATTGTGAATTGAAAATCATGTAAATAAATGCAAGAAATTAAAATTAAAAGCTTAAGAATTATGTAAATGTGAATTATTTTTACTATTAGAAACACTGAGTCAATCAATTGACTATAAATGATTCAATATAAAAATCTGAGTTAAACATATGTAAATTTCTAGTCACAAAAAGAAAAAAAATATGTAGAAGGCAATGACATCTTAAATGCATCTGTGTAATTATGATTTTGATGATCTTTGAGGTTAAGACAACAATAACAATGATAACAATATATGATAGTGATCATATCAGCAAGATAATAGCAAATGAACTGATGAATGAAATCGGAGTTTAATATCAATATTAAATTTGTCCATTTATTTCATCAAGGCCCACCACTTAAAATATTTAAAAAAAACAACAGAATTTATCACAATATTGTGGATGAATCCTTACATTTTGTTGCTTTAATTTTATGATTGGACTTGAGTACTAATTTACAATTAACTGCAATAAAATATCCCTTCTTCAACAATTTTGATTGGAAAATGCCAGAGAGATCTTAGGTAAAGCATCAATTACGTTAACTCCCCATTGTTCTGAGGCCAGTGGGCTACCCCACTTTGGAATATCGAGCCAAGTGACAAAGGGCTCCAACATTCTACAAGAGCAGCCAGGCTGTGACCAGCATCACCAAATGGGAGAGGAGGAGCGGGGCTGCTGCATTGCTGCCTGTCACTGACACATCACGTTCCTTCAGCAGCACTGAATCGATGACGTGGATGATTCCATTGGTGCATTCCACATCTGGTCGGAACACTGTGACCTTCTCCCCTTCCCATTCTATCACATACCCTGGGAAGAAATAATAAAAAATGCTTATTTTCATTTCTATTAATTGATGGTATTGGGTGCAGGTTCTACTATACATAATTATTAACACAAAACAAAGCAGTATCTACCTGCAATGAGTACAGGCAGGTAAGTGACATGTGGAAAATGATATTGTTTTAATGTATACGTAGTACTGAATTTGTTAGAAAAGCCAAAAGCATATGAGATGCAAAAGGTTATAAGGCAATGGTGGATGCAACTTTTATTCATAATTGCAAATTTATTTGGAAAAGATTTTGTTTTTTGACAAATATAATTTTGAATTTAACATCTCAATATGATTGAAAAGTTAGGTACTTCCCTAAGGCTAATGTTCACCTGAATGGAATAACAGAATGTGAAGAGATAATCTGATGAGAATACAAATGGTGAAAACAACAAAACAAAACCTTTCCAAAAATAAACTGCAAGTGTTTCCTTATCCATCAATTACAGTCAAACCTCGATATTTCGAACTGCCTTCAAATAAAATCATTCTTTGATTAAAAATATTAAATTTTCTTTCCTGTTGCAAGGACCCATTTTCTTAACTGAGTAGGAGCAGTATTATATCATGTAGCTAAATGAATATGAATAATGATATGTATGTAATATTAATAATTTAATTAGAATAATTTTAATGATACTAATAATTTAATTAAAAATTGATAATTGTTAAATATTGGAAAAAATTACTTTTGGGAGGACACATCAAACATTGGAGTAATCCCAGATTCAAATCTTTCTGCAGATTTCTATTTTCAAATATCTCGTGTGGTATATGAGATTCATGCGAAGAGGCAAGGATACAATTATTTCTAGTCAGGAGTTCCAGAGAAAGTGCCGCAAATTATTAGCATTTGCACTAAAATTCCACACTTAAAAACTGACATCAGCTAAACAAATATCCAAACTACACAAATTAAAAAAAAAAAAAAAATAGAAATATGTTCTACTCTTAATATTGAAATCTAGATTTCTTTCTTAATACAATTTATTTTCCAATATTGAACATTTAAACAATTTAATATACAATTTTTCTAAAAATATTCATGTAATTCTGAGTTACAACGTTTACATTTTCCGAGTGAGGGTTTAAGTATTACTAGGGCAGAAACAGCAATATACTCGTAATAATATCACGAAGTAACTTTTACCAAAACGCACGTGCTGTTTTAGAAACACTACTTACTTTCATGCATACAAAGTATTTAGATAGTATTGCAATACACAATACTTTCTGTATACTTTTCCGTACCAACTACAAAATAATATGGTGATGTTCTTTCTCGCATTATTTATAACTGTTACGTAATATTCTAATACTACTTGAACTTACACAATTGTTTTTAACCAGCAAAAATATTTCACCACGCTTGGATTCAAACTTCGGCATTTACATTTAGAAAGCAGTTAGCACAATTAGGCTCCAACCTCCTGAGTCGGCACAATCATAATAAACTTTCCGATGCTTCAAAGAGGAACTTGAACATTTTCTATTTTCAAAACTTCAGTGTGATAATAAAATGAGATAATGAAATTAGGATGAGTTTAAGTAAAAACTGAAGAGAAATGTTGGCAGACTTGAGAAGAAATTGTTTACATGATTTTAAAAGTTGTAATTTGAGTCAAATTGTAATTTTAGTAATTGACTCAAATTATGTGAAAACTACTCATATTTACAAAATAATTACCCGACCTTATTTGTAGCTCAAATTTTAAAGAACAGAATTCATTAAGAAAAAAACCTCTTACCTTCAATATTGCAAATGTAGGAAGAAACAGAAGAAGGGGAAAAAAAAGAAATTGCAATTACTGCTTCAATTTTCGGAAATTCAGAGAATTCAATGAATATTGAACCCATACCATTTAAATAAGTGTACATTGCTCTAGCCAAATGAAAATAATTCGGTAAAAATGTTTGGCCACTTAAGAAAAAAAAAATGATTGAGGGTGGGGGGTAGGTGTTGTGCATAAACCATTTTCTTCTTCTTTTTTTCTTTTTTTTCTTTCTTTTTTTTTTCCTTCAGTATCAAAGATACACAAATCATGGATTCTGGTTACTCAGCGTATTAGAAGAAGTAATTTGCTATATAAGAACAAGCAGCATCTACTTTTTCGGTATCAAGGATCCACAATAAGGATTTTTGTGACGAGGAATCGCCACTTCGCTGCAGTATTACTATATTCTCTCCCCTACGTAAAATACAGAGTATGCGGAAGAGTGAAATAACAATGCACATTTTCGGTATCAGGGGAGCCCAAAACGTGTATTTCCGTTGAAATCTCGAAATAGATTATCCGCGGCAATATACACCTTTCTCTGTACTTCGTACATTACTCCCTGTATTCAAGAAGTAAACGTAATGCAATGAACACTTTTAGTGAAGAATTGATATGACTGAAACGGTCAGGAGCAACTCAGCCGGCCACACGCCGTTTGGCTTTTCGCTTAAGTTTGCGTGAAATAGAGGTAATATCAAAAACAATATTTCCTGAAAAATGGTTCCAATGTTTTAAACGTCTTGTACGGAGAATGCTAATGCACTCAATAACAAGCCTTAAACAACGTTTTGATGTATTGTGTTAATTTTTCTGAAATTAGAATATTTTTTTAAATATCTCTCACGGCGTTAAAATTAACAAATATAGATGTAGTCGTGGTGATCTTGCCCTCTAACTACAATATTTTTGGGGAATCGTGACGGTAGGTGAATAAAAAACTTCTTTCCACAGAGACAACGTTTCGGCCATTTATTTGGCGTGCTAATGAATTTTCCCGTTTTAAATGGTCGATACGTGTGTTTCATAAAATATCAGAACTTGTGAACTATGATTATATTAAGGTTTTCTAAACACCGACATCCGGCAAAACTCAGGAATGTAAGAAAATATTCTGAAGAACTTATTACAGCGAATTTTTAATATTTTGTGTCAAACAAAACATTAATTTAAATATATTAACTTAAAAAATAAAACGATAATTTATTGTAATTTTCGAAAGTAAAAAGTTCAACAAAAATGGGCCCTGCCCCACTTTTAAAAGTTTATTTTATTGAAGAAAAAAATTAAAGAAAACATTTGGAGCCGTCTATAATAATATTGTTTTTAAATCGCCTTTTCTTCAAGTAAGAATATCCAAAAATTACTCTATTTTACTCCCTCGCGTACTGCTTTCGCAGTATAGAGAAAGTATTGCTGGGGAAGTATTGTAATGCTGGGGAGAACGAGTGTGGCTACAAAACACGTACTTTCTCGCATTATTTGGTACGGATCCGCAATATTAAGGCCCGTTCACAATGCAAACATAAGCATAAGCATGGTGTAAACATAAAAGTTCGGTCCATAAGCGGACTCATTCACAATGCATTCGCGTAAGCATAACACGTAAGACGTTAACTTAAAAGCTTGCAACCTTCAAGCTTCTGTGTTTATGAGTAAATAAGACATAAGAAATGGACCAATCACAGTACATTAACTCAAAATCGAGTATCGAAATAGGATGAAAATCGATAGGCGAGCCAACGCGGCGCCTTCGTTCTCACGAAGGCGGCGGCTAACGCCTTGTAACGCCATGTACATGAGCCATGGACACAATCGTTACCTCGAAATGGATTCTAACGTCCAACCCAGAGTCAACTAGAATTTTCCACAGCCAATAGAAACTCTTATTTTGCTTACGTTTATGTTAAACATTGTGAATACTTCAGTCTATGGCTTATGTTAATGTGTACGTCTATGCGTTATGCTTATGCTTTTACATGGTGACGCGAGGGGGAGGGCCGTGTGCGAGCTGCCTGCTCTCTATTTTGGCGCTACGCTGCACAAGCTCGCGAGCCAAATGAACGAAGTCCCCGTTCACCTTCTTGAAAACCCCTATTTTTGAAGAAGAAGAAGAAGAAGAAGAAGAAGAAGAAGAAGAAGAAGAAATCAGTATCTTATTTAAATAACTTTGATTATCTAATTTTGAAGAATACATTTCACCAAGTGAAAAATCTGTACCACCAATATTGCAGTTTTGTAATATAATTGTTTTGCAATTTTCAAAAATGCAGAAGGTTTAGTGAAAAAGTCATATTTTTATCAGTACTTTGCTCTATTCGCGAAAAAATAACAAAACATTTGGTGCCGATTTTGATAAAACAATTGTCTAAATATTGATTATATTCCTCGCGAAATTACGTGAAAACTACTAAAAAATTCGATACATTATATACGGCCTTATTTAAACAGCAGTCGTTGAAGAACAGATTCCATTAAAAAGAATCTATTCTCGTAATGATAGGTAAGCGCCGAATATTTATTTGAACTTTTGTAATTTTCGAAAATTCTAAGAGTTGAATGAAAATGCGACCTACGCCATTTTAAGCGTCTTTTCCTCTCATCTATGAAAAATTTTTAAAAAAATATAGGGCCATTTTGTATAAAATGTTGCCCAGGCTTCATGTGAAGTACTCGTAAAAACAATATGTTTGAAGTTCATTGGGCCTCGGTCAGATCGATAGGGGAATATGAATTTCGGAGAAAATCGCCTGAACGGTTGTTCAGTGTTATACACTCGTTCTGCGGATTCAAGGACACACGAAACGTGGATCCTTGCCACACAACGTGTTAGCAGAACTTTACTACACATAAGAAGAAAATTGTGCACTTTTTCGATATCAGGACCCTGAAATACGGTGTTTTTGGTTAAAAAATCGCCGTTTTGCCTCGGCATTGCAATTCTTTCTCAATAACACGAACGTAGTAAGCGAGAAAGTAAAAATTGTGTTATCGAGGTTTGACTGTTTTCATGCAAAGACAAACATACATACATTTTAGATGTGATGTGCAGCATGTGAGGTTTACCACAAATCAGTTCAAGAACATTGACAAATATGATATGCACAGAATATTCAGATAAATGAAGGATTAGGGATAACGAAGGTGGTATTTACTAGAGCTCTGCATTTAGTGCAACGCAAGCAACAGCCCGCGACCGA